GGAAAGGAGAGAAGAGAGGGACGTTGGGGATTTGGCTGGGGGGAAAGGGGTGGAAGAGATTGGAATTTTAAAATTTAAAAACTACAAGCCTCATGGTGCTAAAATTCAGAATTCCTAAGAGGGGTTGCTACTAAATTTTATTTCAAATTGATTGCATACTTTTCTCATTGAAAACATAGTGAAAGGATTGAAGATGCTTTTTAAAAATCTATTTAGAAAAGATCTGTCTGCAAAGCTTAGTCTGCAGCAATATAAATGACCACATATAAAATAGGTATTTAACTTAAAATTATATTTTTAAACTCCAAAATGTGCAACTTTATGAAAGGCTTTTTATGGAGCTATTTATATTTATGTTGAATAAAATGTTCATTATCAATTAATTTTAAATTCAGCTCCTTGAATTATATACGATAGCACTGAATTTTATGTATTGCAGTACATATATGACATCAGCCAAATTTAATTAACTTGATCTATCTATCTCAGCCATGTTTATGCTGCATGTTTAAAGTTACTAGAAAGTGGGTAAAAAACTACAGACCTGTTGAATAGTTTGCTTTTGATTGCTGACCTTTTTATGGTTCTGCTTTGTTTTTGCTGCCTACAGCTGTTGGTTTTTACTGTAAGTATTTTGAAGATTCTATGCTTTTTAATGCTTATGTTTATATGTAGTATTTTATTTTTAAAAATCAATGTGAAAGAACTGAATGAAGCAGAAAGAACTTTTCCATCCACGTATAAGATTGCCACTGTAAACTGGCATGTATTCTTTTTTAATTTTATTTATTTACTTTTTGCACGTGAATTTTTTCTCTGTTTCAAGAAAAGCGATTTTAAATATAATGTTACATGCAATAAACCTTATATTTCAAGAAAAATGATCTTAAATATAATGTTGCATGCAGTAAACAACTACTCAAGAAAAATGATCTTACATATAATACATACAATAAACATTAATACTTCAATAATAAAAAAAATTTAAGTATAATAATATTACCAAAACTGTACTAACATAGGATGATATCACAAAAGTTGTAGGAAATATTAAAAATCTGCAAGTAACAGGATTACTTCTATTATATTCTAGAATATTTTTCCCCCTCTGGCTCTATTTTTGTTCATCAGTTTATGTTGTTCATTATATTCCACAAATGAGTGAGATCGTATGATGTTTATCTTTCTCCGACTTGCTTATTTCACTTAGTATGATGCTTTTAAAGTCTATTTTGTTAGATATGAGTATTGCTACTCCAGTTATTTTTCTTTTCCATTTGCATGGAGAATTTTTTTCCATCCCTTCACTTTCATCCTGTGGTTCTTAGTTCTTTGTTCTAAGCTGAGTCTCTTTTAGGCAGCATTTATATGGGTCATGTTTTCTTATCCATTCAGCTACTTTTTGTCTTTTGATTTAAGCACTTAATCCAGTTACATTTAAGGTTATTGACAGGGCTTGTTTGTTGCCATGTTTTTTTATGCCTGTGTTCCTTCTTCCCTTTCTATTCTTTTTAAAGCATTCCCCATTTTCTTTTCTCTTGCTGTCTTTGAGATTCTCTCTTTGTCTTAATTTTTTGGCATTTTAATTATGATGTGTCTGGCTGTGGGTCTGTTTGTGTTCTTCTTGTTTGGGGTTCTCTGTGCCTCCTGAACTTGTGTGACTTTTTCCTTTACCAGGTTAGGGAAGTTTTCTATCATTATTTCCTCAAACACCTTCTGTATTCCTTTCTCCCTTTGTGCCTCTTCTGGCACACCTACTATTCTAATATTGTTATGTTTCACATTGTCCCACAGCTCCCTTAAGCTGTCCTTCTGACTTTTAATTTATCTTTTTTTTTAATTCTCTAATTGAGTGCTATTTTCAACTCTGTCTTCTAATTTACTGATTTGATCCTCAGATTCCCCTAATCTGCTGTGTATTCCTTCCAACATGTTCTTTATTTGTGTTATGTTTCCTCATTTTGTTGTCTGTTTGGGTTTGTGACTGTGTTTTAGGTAGATCCTCTATACTTCTCAATCTCTAGTGCAGGACAGTGTTAAAGGCTGTTTCTGACTAATTGGATCAGGCAAAGACTCAAAGCCTCCAGAGACTTGGCTCTGCCTACAGACTGATAGGATTCTGACTTGAATTGTCCTCCTCTCCCCCCTTTATCCCCCCCCCTCCCAAATAATCCTCAGGTGTGGTGAGAGTTTTTTCAAGAGAGTGGGACATTTGCTTCTGCCTGGAGGCTAATTTTACTTTTAATCTCTTAAGTGGCCTCAAAGCAAGGTGTTTTCCAATAGGGTGTGTCAACTGTCTTCCCCCAAGGTAAGGCAGATGTCTATGTGGGGAAGATGTCCTCTGCTATGTGAGGGAATAACTCAGCCCAGGAAACTTGGGGTGTCTGCCTTCTTAGCTCTATCCCCCGAGTCCCCAGTCCTGGGTTCTGCTCTCACAGCTCCAGTCTACTTCACCCTCCCTCTGCCAGAGCACAAGGTGGTGCCTGAACTTTCAGCTGCCACTCCCTGGCAGATAGTATCCCACCACTTTTCACAGCCAGATGTTATATGGGTACCCTCCTCAGTTTTGTGCTCTCTGCTGGGGAGCCCAGTTTTGGGATTAGATCGCAGATATCTCAGTGCCCCTGCCTCCCCCCCGCCCCCGCGCAGCTGAGACATCTCTCTGGGACTTCAGTTGCTATCTGTGAGTGCCCAGCCAGCCCATTCATGCCTCCGCCCCTCCTATCATTCTCAATTGGGTCTCCACCTTTGGTCCTTGGGTATCAGGGTTCTCTCCTTTGAGTTTTCCATTGATTTTTCAGGAAGGCTTTCTGTATTTCAGTTGTAATTCCAGCTTGTTCCTTGGAGCATGTCCGTGCAGCATCCTCCTCCTCTGCCTCCATTTTTAATCTCTCTCAGCAGTTTTGAAGAACGCTGGTCATGCACTTTGAAGAAAGTCCTGGAGAATACACTTGGTGGCCGCTCAGGCACCAGTGCCTTTAGAATGATAGAGCTGCATCACCACATCAGGAGTCTTCCTCATCTCCTCAACTCGAGGGCACAGCCATAGTTCCACATGGAGAAGAAGAGCTAGGTTGCAGGTTCGATCCGGGTCCCAGGGCACCTACAAGAGGCAGCTGATTGCTATTTCTTTCTCACACTGATGTTTCTCTTTCTCTCTCTCCCTGCCCCCACTCTGGCATGTTCTTTTAGTCACTTCCTTTAACCATATATGTTTTTATATTCATAGCATTAGAGTATACATGCTATTCTAAATCATGAAGTGTTTTCTTTTGTTTCTGGAATTTTTGACCTAATACAAGATGAGGCCTAAAATAATTCAGAGTGTGGCTAAAAGGATTTTGAAACTTCAGAATTTTTTTTCTGAGTTTGTGTATGGAACTTTTGCTTCTTTTTCATTTAATAGCACAGACCTTTTTTAAAAATTTCTTTGATATTTAGTAAACTTTAAAATCCTTTCTACATTGCAAATCTATTATTTTAACGGATTTTTGGTTATAAATGAACATATAATTAGTTTTTTAAAAATCAAACTGTAGAGAAAGGATGGAATATAAATGTCTTCACTCCCCAGAATTAGCAGTTCTTCATTTACTTGCATATCCTTCTTGAGATTTCAGTGCATATAAAATGTGTGTATCATTTACTTCACCCCAAATGATATGCTGCATTATCATTTAGCCCATTTCACTTAGCAATATAACTTGAATACTTTTCTGTGTCAGAATGCAGAAAACAGCTAATCGTATTCCATTTAACCAGTCTTTTAGTGGACATTTAATTTAGAGTGTTGCCTTAACCTCGGTGTTTATATATCTTTACATGTTTTATATTTGCATTATTATTATATTTGAATTTTGTTTAAAAAAATCTTGTGGAGATTTGTTTTTTGTTTCTTGGCTTGCAAACTTAATATTTACTATCTGGCTCTTTTATACAAATTTGCCACTCCTTGATCATTGATACCTTTGTACCACTGCTTTGTGTTTTCTTTGTGACACTCTTCACTATATGGCATGTCTTATTTACTTAATGGTCTTGAACCACCACTTCCTCTCTTGAATACAAGCAAATCCCTGAGAGAAGAGGCTTTGTCCTTCTCATTTATTACTGTGTCTTTATCACCTGAACATTCTTGGCACATACTAGAAACTCTATAAATGTTAATTCAGCAATAACCATTTAAAGCAGAAGGAAGAGGGAGCCTTTTTATTTTTATGATCATCTTAAATACAGAAAAAGTTCTCTGATTTTAATGTAACCTCGGTGTCAGTATATGCATTCTTTAAATATCTCATTTTCTTTTATTTTACTTAGGCAAGATTATAGTTAGCACTCTACAGATTTTGCCTGGGGGTTAAAAGTCCAGATATTTGAGAATCCTTTTCTAAAACTTATTTACCTATCAGGATTTTATGAATGAAGTGGGAATTATAAGACTAATAAATGCTGTACTTCTCAATGATTCCTTTAAAATGTCTATTTTGCACTTACAGAATTATATTTTTAAGTGTAGTCTAGCTCCAGACCTAAATTCGAACTGATTAACTCATTTTTGGTTGATTCAACTTGATTCTAGCCCAGGGGTGGGCAAACTTTTTGACTCGAGGGCCACAATGGGTTCTTAAACTGGACCGGAGGGCCGGAACAAAAGCATGGATGGAGTGTTTGTGTGAACTAATATAAATTCAAAGTAAACATCATTACATAAAAGGGTACGGTCTTTTTTTATTTTTATTCATTTCAAACGGGCCGGATCTGGCCCGCGGGCGTAGTTTGCCCACGGCTGTTCTAGCCTCATATTTATCATTCATATAATCAGTTAATATTTGAAGGTCTGCCGCGTTCCAAGTATTATGTTTGGCATGTATGATTTTCTCCCAGTAATAAACATGTTTGTAAAGAATATGTATGTATTATACATGTAGCACTTCTAAAATAGAAAAAGATTTACATTGATGCTGATATTAGTGCAGGGAATTCTTCTATCTCTAAAATTTTTTCCAGGTTGGTATTTTTATTGGCAAATTCATCAGGGTTTGTCTTAATCCTTTGAATAATCCCATTTTCGGGGTCTATTCTGGAGGTGCCCATTTATGATGCCCAAATCCCTCATACATGACTATACAACAGTTTGTTGCCTGGGCGTAGGGGGGGTGGGGGTGGCTTTAACAGAGTATGACTTTTTTACACTGTTTAGCAAGATACACAACTCTCTGTTCCTTCCCAGATGTGGTTATAGTATGTTCACAACAAGAGAAGAGAAAATGAAATGTGTGCATGTCATTAGGGGTTTGGATAATTAAAATATATAAAAATGACATCAAAATGTTTATAAATAAATAAAAAGAATTATGGCATCCAAATTGTATGTATAGTATTTTCCTTATTTTTATCTTTATGTTTTTCTGTGAACATGTATTAGTATTTTGTCACCTGAAAAGATACATACGTTTATTAATCAAATGCAGCAGTGATTTCTGTTCATCTGAAATAGAAATGTATATTTCACTGTTGAGAAGGATCTTTGTGTTCCAGATTGCTTTTTGAAGAGGTAAAAGTAATATTCCTGAAAATAACAGGGCATATTTTTTAATTTATATAGATATTCCTGATCAAGTTATAAGAGTTTTTAAAGCAGATCAACAAAGTTGCTACATTATCATCAGTAAAGACTCTACAGCTAAAGAAGTTGTTTGTCATGCTGTTCATGAATTTGGTTTGACTGGTGCATCTGACACATATTCTCTCTGTGAAGTTTCTGTTACTCCTGAGGGTGTCATAAAACAGAGAAGACTCCCGGACCAATTTTCCAAATTAGCTGATAGAATTCAGCTCAATGGAAGGTGAATGTGCTTATTAGTGAATGTACTTATTTCTAGATGTGTTTTTGAAGATTCCATGTTAAAATAGATATTTTAAATAGAAACATCATGTCTTAGGGCCGCTGAGTTCTCTCTAAAATTGAAGTAGGATTTCTTGTATTTGGCCCCAGCTTTTCTTATCTCCATAATTTTAGAAATGTATTCAAAATGGCTATCCAAACATGGGAAAAGTAAAGGGAAGACAGTTAAATATTTTAGCTCTTTTTCTAAAATAAAGTTTTAGAAACACTGAAGTAGTTCACTCTCCGTTTTATACAGAGAAGGAAACTAAATAATACATATCTTTACATGTATCTGATTTATTAATTTATTAATTTGTTTTCAATGTGACCATACATACTTTGGGCAAAAGAAGCTGTAATTTTCACAATTTATTTTCTAAGTAGTTATCCTTTTATGAATATGTGGGAATTTAGGAAAAAAAAATTAATGTTTTGACAATAAAGAGGGAAAGCACTCTTTAAGTATAAAATAAATTATAAAAAAACAATTTTTTCCTTTTAGGTATTACTTAAAAAATAACATGGAAACAGAGACCTTATGTTCAGATGAAGATGCTCAAGAACTCGTTAAGGAAAGCCAACTATCCATGCTGCAGCTCAGCACCGTTGAGCTGGCCACTCAGCTGTCAATGAGGGACTTTGATTTGTTTCGTAATATTGAGCCTACTGAATACATTGATGACCTTTTTAAGTTAAATTCCAAAACAGGAAATACTCACTTGAAAGAGTTTGAGGACATTGTAAACCAAGAGACATTCTGGGTTGCCTCAGAGGTTTTAACCGAATCGAATCAGCTTAAACGAATGAAGATTATTAAGCATTTTATTAAAATTGCACTTCATTGTCGAGAATGTAAGAACTTCAATTCCATGTTTGCAATAATAAGGTAAGTTTGTACAAATATGTGTACAATTTTCTCATACTATTAGACATGAAGCTGGTTTCTGCTTAGGTATTAATGACTAGGAAAGAAAAAGTTTAATAAATAGGTTTTTACTGAAAGTATTGTAAAGACATATGTCTTCCACTCTTGGGATACTGGCTTTTTGTCTTTGTTTCTCCCATCTTTCTGTTACTTAAACATTTTTTGGGTGGGGGTGGGCTGTGTGGATGATTGGTATAATTTTGATGCATTCGCATGGATGGCTATTGTAATGTTGGCTGTTGCCATTTTTTAATTTGATAATATGAGGGAAAAGAAGTTTGTGCCTCTGACTAAACAGTCAGGTATTGCATGTTTTAAAAATTGTGGCACACCAATTGAAAATCGCTGGTCTAGCTAAACATTGTCAATTTTGTCATTTCAAAAAAAAAGTTCTTAGTTTCATTGATCTTTTTTATTATTTTTCTGGCCTCTATTTTATTTTTTTCTATTCTATGTTTATTTCCTTTTTTATCCTAACTTTGGGATAAGTTTCTTCTTTTTACAGTTCTTTGATGCGTAAAGTTATTAGTAGGTAGTTTATTTAAGATCTTTGTGTGTTTTTTTGTAATATGGATGTTTGTCACTCTTCTGTTTTAGAACTGTTTTCGCAGCATCCTATAGCTTTTGTTATGTTGTATATCTATTTTCCTTTGTTTAGAGATTTTTTAAAATTTTCCTTTTGTTTTCTTCTTCGGCACATTGGTAGTTCAAGGGTGTGTTGTTTAATTTCCAGTTATTTGTAGATTTTCCAGTTGTCCTCTTGTTAATGCCTAGTTTCACACCATTGTGGTTTGGAAAGATACTAAGTATGATTTCAATCTTAACTTTATTAAGCTTTCTTTTGTGGCTTATCTTCAGATCTATCCTAGAGAATGTTCTGTGCATGCTTGAGAAGAATATGTATTCTACTGATGTTGGATGGAGTGTAATGGATATAGGGTCAATGTTTCCATACTAGTTTTCAGTCTATATGACCTATTCATTGCTGAAAGTGGGATATTAAAGTCCCCCTCTATTATTGTATTGTTGTCTATTTCTTCCTTCAGATCTGTTAGTATTTGCTGAATATATTTTGGCACTCCAGTTTTGAGTGCTCATATATTTACAATTATTGTGTCTTCATGCAGAGTTCACTCTTTTATCATTATGTAATGTAAATGGCTTTTTGTCTCTTGTTATCGTTTTTGGCTTAAAGTCTATTTTGTCTGACATAAATATAGCTAGTCCAGCTCTCTATTGGTTTCTACTTATGTGGAATATATTTTTCCTTCCCCTTCACTTTGAGCCTCTGTGTGTCCTTTAAGTTGAAGTGACTTTTTTGTAAGCAACATATAGTTGGATCTTGTTTTTTTTATCCATCCAACCATTCTGTGCCTTTTGATTGGAAAATTCAGTCCATTTACATTTAGTGTAATTATTGACATGTAAGGACTTACTACTTCCATTTTACATCTCATTTATTTATTTTCTGGCTGTTTTGTAATTCTTTTGTTCCTTCTCAACTCTTTTGCTGTGTTTTGTTGTAAATTGATGATTTTTTGTTGTGGTGTTCTTGGGACACATCATAGAAGGCAGGGTTCTTTTTTCTTTTTTAAATATGTTTTTATTGATTTTAGAGAAAGAGGAAGGGGGGAGATAGAACCATTGACGTGAGAGAGAAACATCTATCAGTTGCCTCCCAAACACACCCTGACTGGGGATCCTGGGGATCATACTGGTGACCTTTTGGTGCACAGGGCGATGCTCAACCAACTGTGCCACACCGGCCAGGGGCCCGAAGGCAGGGTTTTTTGGTAAAGACAATAATGCTGCTAAAACTAGAAAGCAGCAGGAAAAGAAGACAACCAAATATGAGATGGATTGACTCCATAAAAGAAGCCATAGGCATGAGAATACATACAGGAGTTGAACAGGGCTGTTGAGGACAGGATATTGTGAACATCACTCATTCATAGATATCCACAGGAGTCAGAGTGGACTTAATGACACATAACATACACATGCTCTGATTCCCTTTTCTTTATCGTTTGTGAATCTACTATAGGTTTTTGCTTTGTGGTTTCCATGAAACTTGCATAAAACAATTTATAACAGTATTTAATGCTAATTACTTCAATCACATATAAAACTCTACCCTATAAAACTCTACCCTTTAACTTCCATTTTATGTTTTTAATGTCACATTTACCTTTTATATAGTAGCTATAGTTATTGATATCTTGTCCTTTAACCTTCATACTCTAGTTGAGTGGTTAACACACCTCAAATTACAGTACTGAGATTTTGCAGAATTTTATTACCTTTGTCAAAGTGTTGTATATTTTCATGTGGTTTCACGTTACTACTAGTTTTCATTTCAATTTGAAGATTCCTTTTCAGCATTTCTTGTAAGGCAATTCTAGTGCTGATGAATTCTCAGCTTTTGTTTTTCTGGAAAGTGCTTTATTTCTCTAGTATAGTTTTGCCAGATTATTCTTGGTTGGTAGTTTTGGGTTTTTTTTTTCAGCACTTCAAATGTATCATCCCATTCTCTCCTGGCCTATATGATTTCTGCTAAGAATTCTGCTAATAGTCTAATGGGGGTACCTTTATAGGTTACCATTCTTTTTCTCTTACTGCCTTTAGCATTCTCTCTCTTTCTTTGATTTTTGGCAGTTTTATTATAATGTGTTTTGAAGAAAGTTGTTTTGGATTGAAATAATGGAGTGATCCCGCTTCCTGAACTTGGATATTCAGATCTCTTCCCTGGTTTGGAAAGTTTTCTGCCATATTTCTCTAAATAGACTTTCTGCCTCCTTCTCTCTCCTAGAACTCCTATGGTTTGGATATTGATTTTTTTTTTTTATGGTTTCCTTTAGATCATGTAGGCTTTCTTTACTCTTTCTTTTATTTTTTTTCCTTAAACTGGGTTATTTCAAAGTTCCTAAACTCTGTCTCACTGATTCTTCCTTCTATTTCATCTATCCTGGTGCCAGTGCTCTGTATTACACTTTTCATTTCATTGAATTTTTCAGCTTTAGATATTTATTTGGTTCCTTTTTTGCTTCCTATATTTTGAGTATGTATTATTTTCCTAATTTTATTGAATTAACCTGTGTGTATTTTTGTAGCTCATTTGAGTTTCCTTAAAACAACTATTTTGAATTCTTTACCAGGTAAATCGTAGATCTCCATGTTCTGGGCTTAGTTATTGGAAGATTATTGTGAACTCTTGGTGAAGTAATATTTTCTTGATTATTGGAGTTTTGCATTTTTGTTTTGTTTGTTTGTTTTTGATTTGAGATAGCAGTTAGCTCCTTTAGTTTTTACTTCTTCAAGGTGAAAAAATAAAAAGGAAAAAACCCTTTCATCAACCTTGCTATAGATTTTATTGTTTTGTTGTTGTTAGTCCTCACCCAAGCATATTTTTCCATTGATTTTTAGGGAGAGTGGAAGAGAGAGGCAAAGAGAGAGAAATATTGATGTGAGAGACATTGATTGGTTGCCTCCTGCACGAGCCCCAACCAGGGTCCCGGCTGGGGAGGAGCTTGCAACCGAGGTGCATGCCCTGGACGGGAATCAAACCAGAACCCTTTGGTCCTCAGGCCAACACTCTAACCACTGAGCCAAACTGGCTAGCCCAGGGGTGGGCAAACGTTTTGACTCGAGGGCCACACTGGGTTCTTAAACTGGCCCGGAGGGCCGGAACAAAAGCATGGATAGAGTGTTTGTGTGAACCAATATAAATTCAAAGTAAACATCATTACATAAGGGGGTACGGTCTTTTTTTTCAATAGTTTTATTCATTTCAAACGGGCCGGATCCAGCCCGTGGGCCGTAGTTTGCCCACGGCTGGGCTAGGGCAACCTTCCTATAGCTTTGAGGCTTTCCCAGGTGTTGTATGAACACACCTGCTCTATGCTTCCTGTGGCAGAATTCTTGTGGCAGAATTATGAAGCTTGTGTCTTCTCTCAGTCCTATAACACATCATGTCCGTTGCTGGTAGTGTCTCTTTGTTTTCTTGATGGTAGCCGTTTGTGGTTTCTCCTTTGCCTGCAGACACCTGCGTATGCTCCCTCTACCAGAGAGCTTGGTCTCAGGACCTTACACAGGGAGTCAGCAGCAGAGCAGGGGGAGGGGTGGGTTTGGTACAGGTGCACTGCAGGTGCCCATGGGAGGGATCTGTAGGTGAGGTGTTCCCTTTGTCTCCTGGGTGGGCTTCCTGTTGTAGTCCAGAAGCAGTCAGCAGG